CCACTGGGCTGCTCTTGCACGCGATAGGAAAAAATGGAAGTGTTACTGGTTACCGCTTGAGTCACTTGACGATCAACGGGACAACAGGTGATACAGGTGATACCGCAGTTTATCAAGTAATCATTCAATAGAGATGTGAATTTCGTCAAAAGTTCAGAAGCCATTCAAATCAGTATGTGAATCTGCATATAGTACACATATCATATTACCATATTATAGCTTTATTTCAAGCGTTTTGTTAAGACCATGCCCAAATTTCAATAGATCCTTTCATTATTATTTGAGTCAACTTGTCATGTGGTCTGGTGAAGGCTCTTGTACAGCCCGATCCTTGCAGACTCGTCAGTTGGGCAGAACCCGTCGTCTTTAGATTTTATTATAGTCAGTTCCCTCGGAAGCCTCATACCACATCAGTTAGTTCTCCTCCTGAACAAGTCGGATAGGTTCGCAAAACTTCACGTGTCCTTTATTGGATGAGGGAGAAATTCATCAAGATCCGAAGAAGAATGTAGGCGTATTGAGTAGTGGGCAAAAATGCAGCCTCGGACGGGAGTTGAAACCGCGTTCCATCCATAACGGGGATGCGTGCTACCACTAAACCCCAGAGGCACATGCGCACCGCGAATCGTTCGTTACCACGAACTCTCATATTATATCAATCAGTTATCTCCTTCAGTAGATCGGATAACTCCGCAATGCTTCTTGACCTTTATTGCATGAAGGAGTCCAGGACCATCACACCGCTTATCGTGGGTGAACAGTAGGGATGCGCAATGGTGCACCCGTTTTTTTTTTTGAGTTTATCAGTTTGCGAGAACCATTTCGTGATTTTAAGAGTCGTTGCCATTTGCGTAAACAGATGGTTAGTGTTGGCGACAAACACATCGTTCTATCATCTCGGCGATCATGCAATAGAATGTTCGCATTTTCTTGGTGTTCACTACACTGTCCTTCTTATTAGGTGAGCGACCCATCCATGTTCCTCTATCGATTCAAATGATTTCGGATTACGAAGGTGAGGTAGGTTTTGAAAATTTGAGCTGCGTTAGAACGCCAGATTTTGCGAGTGCCGACTAAATCTGAGAAAACAAGTTCAAATCCCCGCACGTGGTGTACAGATTGCCTGGCGTCGTCTTAGTATCATACTACCTCTCTACTGCATAACAAAGCGCTGGGAAGACTGTTGATTCAAAAAGCTGAGGACGGAGTAAAAGATCTCCTATTTGGTCGATGACTTCATTGAAAGGCCTGAATGGAGCTCATGCTGCTCTCCTTCTTCTGTCTATTTCCTCGCTTATGTTGGTCTTTATGTTCATCATTTGGTTCATTAAACATCGCCTGTGCTTTACTGGTTCTTCCGGAAAGATGACAATGTCATCCAATTTCCATAAATTTAACTAATTTAACTAATTTAACTAATTTTTTCCATATTTAATAATTTTTTTCCATTCCATTCAACTAGAGGATTATTTCACCTCAAGAGATCGACGGAACCGAGTGAGGGTGCTACTGATGAGTCCCAATAGGACGAAATAGGCGCCTATATAGCACTAGACCTATGGCTCAAAATATAGCATATCCTTAACTAATTTGGTTTTTCTGTACTTGAACCGATTTTCCCTTCGTAATTCGCAGATATGCCGATAAACACTCGAACAAAAGGAATAGCACAATTTTGCTGCGTAGAACGCTATTAGTGTGAGCTACCGTAGATACTGCTGCATTGAAAAAGATGCTAACGCACTCTACAAGATCGTCAAGAACACTAGTTGAGTAAACCAACAAGAACAGAGTGCTGATATGATCACAGCAAGCTCTAGTGGTTTGGCCCATGGTAAAAATACATGAGACTAGTTTCCACCACCGACGACTCAACTTCAAGATAACCTCTTAGCCGATGCAGGAAAATTAGTGCAATGTCATTTTTTTGTTGATAATATTTCTTGTCATAGTCATCAATGATGTTTGGACGTGCATCACATAAAGCATTATGGCATGTCGTTTTAACCTCTGTTATTGCTGAAGACAAGAATTTACCAATTGTTTGTGTTATTTGCAAAATGGGTATGAGTTGAACTTGTTCTCAGCTGGGAGCATGTAAATATTCGATAGCGATCAATTGGATCCTCCTCTTCTCGTGGATATGAAAGAGGTCTCTGTCTTATAAGACAACGTTATGCTGCAACAACAGAAAACATTTATAACTCTGCGAGAAACTCTTGCAGTTTTTGTAATAATGACAAGTGATAACAATTTTCGACCTAAATTCTTGCAACAATTTACATTTCTTGCACACTGCTTATGATTATTAACTGTAATTCCCGCGCATTAGAGAAGCTAGCACAATCGCAATGACTCGCTCAACCACTATCCTACGATATTCAAAAAGTAGACAATTAACCATGGTGCCCATACTGTTCATTGCTTTAGCACCACATATGCAGGGATTTCTGCCAACACAGTCCCCTTTGACTTTTGAAATTGTTTTTAATCACCTTGAGTTTTTTCCGAGCCATTTTCTCAAAGGGAGCGCCGTGGCAGAGCCCCGTCGCGGCTTACGTGGAGCCGAGCTCCATGTGCCAATCCTCTCAGGCGATAAACAACAACGCTCCACGAAACGCCACAGCCAGGCTATCGTCGAGATTGGAAGGAGACTCGCTCAACCAGTATTCTACGATGTTCAAAAAGTAGACGATTGACGAACTGAATGCTGAGTCACTGTGATTTGCACAGAGAAAAAAAAACACTGTCAAGACGATTTAATCAAGTGTTAATACAATAAAAGTATTTCCTCAATTCGTAATCTTATTTGTGCAAAGGTGATATAGAAGCATTAGTTTACTGCACCTTTATTGATTTTCAATTCAAAAATTATCCCAAAGCGATCACAGTGATTGAAAATGAGAAAACAATAAGTTATTGAGTGAAACCGATTTAACCGTTTCCGAAGTTTTGTCATGCCAGTAACATATGTACACGTCGCCGATTTCGTTCTCCTCCTCAGTGCCACACGCCCACGATAGCAGTTCCTATTGCAATATTTCATTAGGTTACAAGTTCCTTATCTGGGATTTCTTTCTTGTGACCACACGGCGATCTACCCGTTTAGCCAATATATTCATACTAGCACGCAGTGCAAAAAATTATGCACACCGAAAAAGAACTCATGCAATCATCGTCTTTACCACTGGAATTGCGCAATTTCATCTGCTATCAAATGATGAGGAAAGAATTGAGGAAACAGAGTTTTTGTTAGCGTTTTAATCCCTGCCTTAGTTTCCTTAACTCGTTTTGAGCATCACTTTATAGTCGCTTCATA